AGAACAGAAGAGAAAGAACCAGAGAAAATCTCAGAATACAAAGACCTGCAAATAGAAATAGAACGACTGTGGCAAAAGAAAGCAAAGGTAGTACCAATAGGAATAGGTGCCTTGGGTGCAATCCCAAAACATCTGGAGCACCACTTGAAGACCATCAGTATTGACAAAGTCACCATCAGTCAATTGCAAAAGGCAGCTTTACTTGGAACAGCTTACATACTCCAGTGATACCTTTAACCCCATCAAACAACATCTGCCTGTCCCAGGTCCTTGAGAAGGACTTGATAGGTGGATAAAAATGCCAAATCCAGTCTGAACATCTGGATGACTGTGCGACCAACAACGACGACAATAATACAAACTATTGATTTTGTGTTCCTGCTTGCTCAGTTCCTTCTTTTCTGCGCTGAGCAAAAAGAGCTAAAAAATAGCTGCTGCTTATGTTTGTTTGAATGCAAAACGTCTCAACATGTTTGGAAATATTAGCGATTAACTGGGTTGGTCCAACATATATAGCCTGGGTTTCTTACATACATTTTATCCTGTCCACGTCTCTAGGTATTTGTCACTTTTCCTTACTGCTTATTTACTTTGATTTTGAAAATATTTTATGCTTCTCTCTATTCAGGCTGTGACAGAAAGGGGAGATACAGATACCTCTTTATTCAGCAGACTGGCATACTTGAAACAACTGATCAAAGTTAATAAAGAAGAAGAAACAGCTTGTGAATTCCACATGTCTGTATTGGTAGACATGGTAGATGCTTAATCAGCATTTCTCTAAACAGAAGCAGAGAGCTGACAATGTATGACATCAGACATGAATAACAAAAGTCTGCATAAAAACAAGAGCCATTGTAAATGGGTGACTCTGTCTGATGATTCTTGCATCTGGTTGTGTAATACTTCCTCGGTGAAGCTGAATGCATCCTTTGGTCTTGCTCTTTGATTTGGGTAGTTTGCTATACATATATACCTGGGAATAAGATCCATTAATCTCAGTAGGACTTATTTCCATGAAAGCCAGTTCAGAGTTATACTTTCATTTGTTTAATTGAATTGTGCACCTCTCTCTGTGCTTTACAGCACAAAATGAAGTTCTTATTTCCAGAGTCTACATTACAAATCACATTTTCAGGTCCTGGGTTCTATCTGGAACTCTGCTGTGAGAAGTGGGTCATTCTTTGCATGATGCATTTTATGGGAATCCTATTTTATAGAGCTTAATTTAAACAATTTCTCATAATTACATATATAGCCAAAATTTCTATGTAAGAATTTACTGTATCCTGTAAATTGTATATTGTTACCTTATGGACATGTAACTTGCTATGCCAAGTACTACGTAGGCAAAGGCTTGAATCCTAAGAAACGTTAATATAAAGAAGTTCATGGACAGTGCATTTCCTGTGTCTTCACTCCCTTCTCTAGGAGTTGGGAAAGGGTCTTCTGGACAATATGGAATGTGGCAGAGGAGGAGGTTGAAAACTTTCTTTTATGGACTTCCTTAAGTTCACTCATATTAGGATCTGCCAATATGAATTTTATGAATATTGGAATGAATTCATGGCCTTAGTTATAGTTTACATTTGTATTGAAAGTTCTATGGTTGAAAAAGAGATTAGTTTGAATGACAGGTGGAGTCCTGAAGGAGACTCAGAGATCAGGGGATTACAAGAACAAGATCCTTCTAGCATCTTTTTTTTTTCCTGCTGTGGTATAGGAGCAGAGATTCACTCTCCGTTCCATGATGCCCTGGAATTTTTTACCATAAATGTTCTATTCTTTGTCATCTGAGATCTATTAAAAAAACCCTGATCTGAGTTCACTGAGTGAATTCATTCTTTTGGAATAATTTTTATGAAGTGACCTCAGACCTTACATTAAAAATATCAGAACATATTTTAATGTATATGGCAATGTCTTTATCAAGAAAATATTATTCTGATGGAAATATTGTTAAATACACAGATTGTGTAGTAGGCAGTAGCTTACTTGCTTAAGAGTAAGAAACTTGGTAACTGTATTCTTCCTCTAAAACAAATTGTGTAATTTTCTATTTTAATGTAATGCTATTTATAGGATTCCTTTCTTTTCAGTTAAGTGTAATGTTTTGAAAGTGGTATTTACATTCTGACCAGCTCATATTTCCCAGGCTTTGCATTATTTTTTTTTCCTGATATACTGGATATGGCATATATTTTTTAAAGTTTGCAGCTGATGGGTTTTTTTTCTCTTTTTATTGAACTATGATTAACCATTTCAGGTAGCTGCATTAACATAAATCCAAGATGCATCTAAAAGAAAAAAAAGATATAGAAAATTCAAAAAAGAACTACTCCAATGTAAATAAAGAGACAGGTACTGCACATGTACAAATTTACCATATATGTAAAGTATACCATATTATAGTCTATTGCTATTGCGGTAAATCATAAAACCCATCCACATTTGATAAAATTGTGGTTCCGGCCTCTGATGTCTCATTATTTTAACTTTATCTGTGATGAAATTTAAAAGGGTTTCAATCATTTTTAATGTACATCATCAGCTGCAAACTTTAAAATCAAACAAAATCACAGATAACGTTTGCAGCTGATGAAGTACATTAAAAACAATTGAAACATTTTAAAATTTCATCACAGGTTTGATTGGTCCATCCTCTAGGGGAGTTTACAATGTAAAACAAGTGTTTTTGGGCAAACTGGAAGTCTTCAATTACACATATGTTTGGTTAGTTACCATAGAAAAGAGGTAGACGAGGTCCTTATTTAACACTCCTGATTTGGGAATGGGGGTGAGAACTAAAAGTTGCCCGTGGCCGCACCGGGGCTATATTTTTTATGGAGTGGAGATTCTTTAATTTTTTAACTGACATGCTTTCTTTAGGGCTTATACCATGGTTTTCACCCCTTTCTGACCTCAGACTAGTGGGAAACTGCTTTCAGTTTTCTGTAATTCAAGGGCCCATAAAGGAGACTCATGAACCACAAGTGCACTTAAGGCTGCAGGTTGCCCATGTTTGCAGTCGATTAAGACTGGGTGGTTTGATTTAAAGATGACAAGCATCTGTGTCTTGGATTCAGACTTTTGTGCCATAATAGCACCACATGGTCACTGATTGTAATATTATGGCTCAGTCAATAAAGAAAGATGAAGTTTGTGATTTGATCGCAACTTCTGGTGAATCCCATTTTAAAAAGTTCCACTGTATATCTTAGGGACAGTGTAAAAGCAGGAATGGAACAGATACCTTTAAAATACCTTTGATTCTAGGCAGCTTGCAACACATGAGGAAAAAAACTTTAATAGAAACATAAAATCTATTAATAAAACTTTTAAAAGCTACAAATGAGCCTACAGCTGCCATCAAACCAGTCGGCATGCTTTCTTAAAGAGGCCTGTTTGTGTCATGTTCCGAAACATCGGGATAAGAACATGCTTATGCGTGGTAAGAAAGCTTTTCCAGAGGCAGAGGGATACTACTGAGAATATCAGTTTTCTGGTCTCAGTCACCCTATCCCCCAAATTTCTTTCAGGTTGGGTGGCTGGTGCATCCCTGTAGGCAGATTCTACACAAGGAAGACAGTCCTGAAGATAACAAACACAAAAGCAACAATACAGGTTACTCAGTATTATACTATTACTAACCCCTTAGCAGCCCAAGAACACGAAGCACTAAGGCAAACCAACCAGTCATGTAGAACTAGAAAGTCTTGATGCGAAAACAGCCAAAATGCATACTGGAAATGTGTAGTTGAAGCAATTAGGGCAAGATGAATGAGGCTTACAGCTGTTTACTGATATATGTCAAGGTGCTCTGTTTGAGAAAACACACCAATAGAAGTTTCCAGCTTATATTTATGCTGTGTAATAAATATCTATGCCGACACCAAACTGGTCATCCTTGAAGGCTTTATTTCCTCAGACTATGGCTTGACTTGAGAAGGTGTAACAAGATTCTTCTTTATTCTTTAGCAAGCCTGCTGAACTATATTTAACTTTATTCTTCCTAGCCTCTGCTAAAGCAACAGCAGTTGAAACCCCTGTCCTTGGAAACTCTAACTATCCTACGAATTGCATAGTTACACATAGTTTTTACACATGGTTTCATATGGTTACAGAGGTAGTTTAGACCAGGGGCCAGCAAACTATAACCCACAGGTTAAATCTGTCCTGCCATCTCTTTTAATACAGCCCATGAGCTAAGAATGGACAGGCAGGCAGGCGGCAGATTGCCAGGCCCAAGTCTCAGCCGAGGGCCGTTTGTGTGTCTGTATGTTTGTCTCCTGAGTGGCAACAATGGCCTATCAGCAGCCTCCTTGCTCAAACTTTGAATGGAATCATGTTCTGTTACCCTTTCTAGGGCAAAGTCTGTATTTTAGAAATAACTCTACCCAGCCAGATTAACAATCACATAGGATTTAGTCAAGAAGACACACCAGTATCTGAAGAACTGATGTTAAAATATAGGTCCTGGGAAACAGAATTCTATCAATGCACTCTTTGAGAAAAGAAAACCCATAACTCTGACTCCTTGTAAAAGAAATTATGTTCCAACGATATTCATCCAACTAAGGTAATATGCCATCTGAGGAAATTTAGGATAAATAGGCAAAAAGGAATATCAAAGAGAGACTCCAAGACCAAAGGATGAGTTAACTCTATTAGCTCCGTCGCATTTTTTTTAAATGCACACTTACATCATTCCTGATGCTTCACATACGATAAAAGCTTCAAATGAAAATAAAACTGCTTGCAAGACAAATTCATTAACATCTTTTGCCCTGGATTCTGAAACAAACGCTCCACATTTTTCATTGCACTCTCAGAGTAACCCTTGACGAAAACAAACTGGAAAAAAATTCAGCACGTTACCTGGGAAATCACGAAGAGTTATCCGACAAGGCGTTACTAGAACCCTGACTCCGCCCTCAATTGTTTCTACACTCTCTTGGATTGGCCCGACCTTCGTGAGCTTATATCAGCCTAGATCGGATGTTTCGAATAGCTTCTTGGGAATTGTAGTCTTGAAGAAGGAACTACTTTGGCCCACGATTCACACAGAAGACTTCATATCCCAGCGTGCCTCTGAGTAAATCGAGATGTATGGTGTGTGATCGTTTCGGACTTGGCTGCATTAACTTTTGTGCCGCTGCTCGTGCTGCTCCCCGCAGACTTCACCCTCAGCGCAGAGCGGCAGGATGGATGGGACGTGAGTATTTGGGCATTTCTCCTACTTTAGGGTTCTCCCAAGGCGTCTTCTGTCGCTTTAGCTTTAGTTGTGCTTGGGAAAATCACTACGCTGCTTGACTTCTGGCGATGCAAGAAAAGAATGCAAAAGTCCCTTTTATACTTTTTGATTTTAAAAATGGATTAAAAAGGACCTATTTTCCCCTGTTCTGGCAAGGGATTTGAAACTCCTGAGATCGTCTACCTGATGACTTTTTAAAAACGGGAATAATTAAGATGTAATATTTCTGCACACATTTCTATTATGCATATGTGCTTTGATGCATAAGTTGCTTTGCTGTGCTCTGTGTGTGTGTGTTAAACTATTTCAGTCACACATAGGCTCTTTGTGCTTTCGTTGTCCTTTCATTTCACAAAACAGTTTAGCTGAGGTGTATCTTTTTCAATAAAACAACAAAGAATGTTGTGAAATCTAACAAATTAACATTGATAACGTTTCATAGAATCTATTTCATCAAATTCATTCTTGTGGCTTTAGGTACCTTTTTTCTTCTGCTGCTGTAATGAATTTCTCTACCACTTCTCGTCATAAAAATTCTTGAATTGTTTTGCAATAGCCATAAACCTATCCTAGAGTAAACATAGTAAAATTGACAAATCCCATAGAGTAGCAGAGTAAAAAGATACATGGTATAAATAATCCATTAAAACAGAGGTGTTGAGGGAGTTAGCGACCAAGGAAGGCTGCTGTAAAAGTCTGGTTTGGGGAGAATGCCTGCAGCACAAGAGCTTTGGGGCTGGTACCCTGCAGAAGAAGGCTATTGTTGGGTTCTCGGTACTCTTTGAGCTCAGAGAACATCAAGAACCCAACAGTTTAACCCTGAGCTACATATACTCTCTGCTGTTGGAAAGCAGATCATTCCCAAACATGTAGAAAGCTCACCAATGTCTGGTCATTGAGCGGCAGTCTCAGAGAGTAGGCGTTCTGGAGTGGGGTTTGATGTCAGCAAAGATGTTTCTTCAGGTCACCTACTCCTGAGGTATCTAGAGCTTTGTCCAACAATAGAAACCTTTTCAAATTACAAGCATTGTATTGTTTTCCACAGCATCTGTTTAAATTGGCACCGTCCACAATATCGCACCACCAGAAGGTATACAGTTAGTCCTAACAATAACGCCCGCACACCAGTTGGTTCCTAATTCTTGGACATTTTTCATCTGCAGTACTAGGATGCGTGCTTTCCCTAGAGTCTCTCTGTTTGCATTTCACTCCTGTTAGATATTTGCGGAGAAGAGGAGGCCCATATAAGACGGAACCCGCCACAGACTTAACCCGCTGGCGCTTGAGTAACGAAGAGGGTCGGCAGCAATGGCGATATCTAGCAGATGCTGAGGATGTGAAGCGGGAGCAAACTGCGCTGGAGGCTCACTCTCTAGGGCTGGACATAGTAGGTGACTGATGCTGTGGTGAATATGGGATATGAGGGTGATGGACAGCTTGCACAACTCCCAGCAACTTCTTTCAAGCTGGGTCTTTAGGGAGTGTTTTCCAAATGTTCAGTGGTCTGGGAGCAGACCAGCTTGTCTGTTGCCAAACATTTCCGTGTTGGAGCAGATGTGGAAGAGAGCAAACTCAGAGAGCACCTTTGGGTCATGTGATGCGCTGGCAAGGTCTGTGGAGCGCCACTGTTACCCAGGATGTCAAGGAATTGTGCCATGAAGCAGATTCAGTCTGTGGAAGACTGAAGACTTCATGGTAATGGTGGGAGAGCGCTCCATATTTCGGGGAGCTTGTTTATTATTACTCGGGTTCTTTTGGAGGGGCTCCTGATAAGCTTTCATGCATGCCCAAGGCTTAAAAGTCTCTGCTTTGTGATTCTTTGGAGACACCAAATCATCTTCTTAAGTACTGAATGACTGCGTTGCTTGGCAGAGACTTCTGAAACTACAGAACTGAAAGAAGCTTCAGAGTGGTTTATGTACACAGGGGAGGTCCTCTGTAAATTGGAGAAAGGATTTGAAAGTGATCTAGAGCTCTCCTTCTAGAAAGATAGCATCTGAAATACATTAGTCTTACAGGCTTCAACTTTTATTTCTGGTCTTTTGTGATTAGAAATGTAGCAAATGTCCCAGTATGTTCAAGAAAGTGTTTGAAGAGAGCTCATATTCCACATATTTCCATTATCAGCATCTTTTGGTGCTTCAGGCGTCCCTACCCATTTGTGCTTCCATACTGGAAGTTGGTTTTTCCTAAGAAAAGTATGCTGGCTCTTGGGTCCAGAAGCAATGCTCATTTGGCAGGTTCTCAGAGGATGAAGCAGGGATACTGCCCATAAGGGCAGACCTACTGGCTGGTTCCATAACACGTTAGACCAGGATAAAGTGGGGCTAAGTAGTTTTTTTGTGGTTGAGCATATCGTATATTCAGGGTGAACCCCTCCTGGCGATATCTGAGACTTCTGTCTGCCTTTGGTTTGCCTGAGGAGCAAATCCGAGTCCCGGCTGCTACCCTTTGCACTTCCCTTTCTCTTTTGCCAGAAGTGGAGAGCAGTTAGCTGTTCCTCTACACGCTGTACTGCTTGAATAAAGCAGGAGACTTCAGTAGGTGGTGTTTATACATACGTCAGTTCTCGTTTTTAAACTTTTATGGACCTAAAGTCTGGTCATCTATATTGTTCTTTCATTCCGATTCCTTTCTGTTTTGCAGACTAAATTCTTCCCAGTCTTGCCTAAAGCCTGTACTGCAGAGGAGGCAGCACTAAATGGGATGAAATTTTTCTCAGGCCTACAAGCAGAAGATGGTCATTGGGCTGAGGACTATGGAGGACCTCTCTTTCTGTTGCCAGGTATGGTTACCAGAAATATCCTGAAAGCTTCTTTTCACCGATGGCCACACATTGATCTGATTATCAGTCTTTTGTATTAAAGGCAAAAAAATCTAATCAGCTAAGCTCTATTGGCCGGAGTTATTTCAGAATTAGTTACAAGTTTCCCTGCATGCTACTCATTACGGTTGACTACAGTACAATGGTTTAGAAGGAATTGAGAGAAAAATTACACTGATGTAGGGTTCAGCTAGAAGAAATTGGCCTGGGATGGTGGCGAGTGTAAATGAGGGTTCTGTCTCTCGGCCTCTTACGATCTCAAGTCGACACATTCCAGTCCATTCTGATTGCAGCAGAAGTGAGAGCAGAGGAGGCTCCCCTCATTATTTCAAGAGCTTGTTGCTGCTGCTGCCTGAAAAGACGCTTCTGCCTCGCTGCATTTTTCTACCTGCTGGCCTTCTTCCCACAGGGCTCCTGATTGCGTGCTACGTGACCAAGATTCCAATCCCAGGGGAAAGTAGGAAGGAGATGGTGCGCTACTTGCGTTCCGTGCAACTCCCAGATGGAGGATGGGGCCTGTGAGTAAAGCTCAAGAGCCAGTGCTTCAGAACAAGCACGCCCGCAGTCTCGTACTCTGGGCTTGCACGGTGGCACATCATACATTTCCGAGCCAGCGGCATGAAAAAACAAGCAAAGGCTCTTCTTGCTGAAGGGCATCAATGCCTCGCAGGTTACTTTGGGGGTAAATGGTTGGGACTTCCTAAGGAGAAGGCAGTACCTATTTCAGCCGTTGGCCGATCATACTAAACATGCACAGCTACAAGTAAGAAACTTGATGTAGGGGAAAAAAAGCTTTCTTCCTTAATCCCAACTTACAGGCAGTACAACCAAGAGCTGAAGAGTGCTTTGAAGTTCTACCGATCCGTAGCTGCAAAGTGTTCTCTAAGAGGAGAAGGCAAAAATGATATGCAAACGAGCACTTTTAACCAATTGATTGTATACGTCATCTTCCTGCTTACCTCATCAGGAACAAACAGCGCTTGGTTTAGGAAAAGAAGAGCCTTGTCTATCATATATAGCTATTTCTAACTTGCTTCTTTCTCTAGGGAATGTACAAAACAACAATTTGAACAAAAGAAGCTGGTTTTTAATCCTTGTGTAACCTGGGCTCTTTCTCACTTATTCCCTTCCCTGCCAGAACTTTGTTTTATCCAACTTACCTGCTGTTGTAATGGCCTCTAGCTTATTCTGTTGTGTGTCTTATATATGGCTTTGGTCATGTCTGCTAATGTTTACTAATTTGGGGGTCCTGCATTGTTCACTTATTATTTTGAATAACAGTGTTTGGCCTGTCATAATCTGGACCAGTACAAGCATAGGTTTCCCTTTACGTAAAACACTGCTTTCTTGATAACCATCCAGTAAGATTGACAGATCTTTTATGAGGCCAAGAGGGGAAATATTACCAAAATAACATACCATAAAGGCAGAGGGAAGGACTTGGGTAGGAAAAGAGTGTAAGAATGGGGGGCTTAGTTCAGACAGTGGCATTGTCCAGAATAGGTGGAAATTCTGTTGCTTAGACCAGTAAAGCTTATGCTTCTCAAGCCCCACAAAGTTGGAACACTCAACAAGTGAGAACCACATGAATTTCAGGAAGGCATCTTAATGCTAACCAAAGCTTAGTCTTGAAAACTGTACAAGTAGGTTCCCAGACAACTTCATAGCAGGCCAATTCAGGTGGAGTTACTTTGAAGTGTTTCCTACCCACCTCTGGGCTGGGATCTCCTCTCCTGTCCGGTTCCTGCAGTCGTTCACAATGTTTCACTTAGCAGGCAGATTAAACTTAGCTACAGATGGTGAAATGTCACAGACTTCCTTGTGTTGGTAAAATGGGCTAATGGCTTCCTTCCACACAAGTGAGGATCAGGAGTTATTTTCTGTCTAAAAGGCATTGTCTTCTATCTTCCACCATGTCTGACGAAGGCAGGAATTCCTAATTATTGGACGATGGAAAGAAACACAAAGCAGCCCAGATAACCCCATATTCCTAATGTTTATATGACATCCTGGATGAATAGCAAGCCAATCCATGGAGCTAGATATTGCTTGTGCTCATTAAGCTTTGCTCCTCTGACTTACCATCTCAATGCTTAGGAATTACAGCCTTGATTTTTCCTATCTCAGGTTAAATGATTGTGCAAGCAAGCTGAAATTCAACAGATCTCCATCTGCAGCATTACATTTCCCAGTTATGCATTTAAAATAAAGCTCTAGAATATAGCCATCGTCAGCCAGGTGGCAATAAAGTTACTCCGTGCTCTTTTAATTTGCCTTATTTGGCTTATCCACTTCTCAAAAATTCTGAAAAGTTGAGGAACAGCTGGGTTTTCTTGTGTGAACACATCTGCCTAACGCTTTTCTTGTCTGTTGTCTGCTAGACACATTGAGGACGTGTCCAAGGTATTTTCTACTGTTCTCAACTACACGGCCATGCGTATTCTTGGAGTCAGCCCTGATGATCCAGACTTATTGAGGGCTCGAAACAACCTCCACAGCAAAGGTGAATAACCAGCTGGAGTCTGAAAGTAGAGGGGGCTTTTATTTTTCATTTTACCAGCATTTGGTGCCCTTGGAAAAAGGTCTCTCTCTGGTTACAGAGCAGTCACAGGTGGTTGGTTATGTGCCATCAAGTTGACGTCAGCTCTTAGCGACCACGTCGGTTACCTTCTTCAGGAGCTCCTGTCCCCATTCTGCCCCTCCAGGTCTTCCAGTGGCGCGTCTATTGCCACTGTAATCAAGTCCATCCATGAACAACATATTGACTCTTTTTGGCTTTCTCAGTTATACAGTTTGTCTCAGCAAAAATGTCTCTTATCCTTCTGCTTTTCTAAAGCTGGTATGAACATCTGGCATCCCCCTTTCCATATCAGGCCCTAATCTACATTGGATGATTAGGATCATTATTTTGCTACCATATGAAATTAAGGATACAGTATGATAGTTCACACTCTCTGTTAACTCTCTTTTCTTTGGTATGTAGAATGACCTCTTCCAGTCTGTTGGCCGCTGTGTCATTCTCCAGATTTGCTGGCATAATTTGGTTGTTACCTGTACAGAGTCTTCTTCTGCTGCTTGCCATGTTTCTGCAGATATTCTGTCAATTCCTGTAGTCTTCCAACTGGGTAATGACTGGTGCGCTGATCTAAGTTTGTCTTCTAATTCTAGAGGTTCTTGTAAATAGGGATGATCTTCTTTTTTTTAAATAACTTTATTGGAATTTTAGACAAGAAAGATAAAAACTAACAGAACTACTATTTAGAATAAAGAAAAGAGAGCGAGCGCGCAAGGAAAGAAAGAGAGAGAGAGAGAGAGAGAGAAAGAAAGAGAAAGAAAGAAAGAAAGAAAG